GAAGAAGTTAAGAAGATGTGTATGTATAAATACCCTGGAATGAAAAAAAAGATGGGAGAGTTTGAACTGTCAATTGTAGCTGGAGAATTCACTGACTCTGAGATAATGGTGATGCTGGGAGAAAATGGTGAGTATTTTTCCATTTGGAAAAGTCAACACAATCATTTTTGCAGAGCTTATTGTATATCCAAAGACTGTGTTAGATGTTTGAGAGTAACACTTGCTCTAAGTTGTAAACATGGGGTATAGCCAATCATATGTAACACTTAATTTTCCAGATTCTCATCCATATTGTGTTAATGATACAACAAGAGGATAATTAGAAGCCTAAAGATGTTGAATTTTAATGAGATGAGGCAAGGAAGCAAATTAATACCAATATCAAATCTTTTAATGTCTCAGTACTGTAGTTGGTAAACAGCCTGGTGTACTCCAGGCATTTTGGGAACTCCCATGAGCCCCAGCCAACTTGGATAAGTTGGGAGTTAGGTGAGTTGTAGTCAAAAACATTTGGAACACATGAGATTACTTACCTGAGTGCAGACTAGAAAGGAGGAAATGGTGAACTATGCTAAAATGCAAGTAGCTATTCTCTTCACATTAGAATCAAAATGTAAATCTGGTTTGTATTATTTCATATTAGCTGCTATCCTGTTATGTAGCTCTGACAGTATAGAGGGAATGATATCATTGGCGCCAGAAGATTGCCAGTAAATAAAGAACGCCTGCTTCAATTTTGGAATGTATGCAGCTTGCACACAATGAAGTGAAATGCACAAAACCTGAAATCAAAGCAGGAACTCAAAATACTGGCCATCTGCAATTGCCAGTGAAATCCCTCCCACTGTACTGGCTGAGCTACAGAACAGGATTTTGGCACTTACTTGTGAAAGTACTTAAGGCAAGATCATCATGCCATGTGTGCATATTTTCTCCATTCAGTCAAGCTTGTATTTATTTTTGTGTCTTGGGCAGCCCTACCAATGGGACTTTTGCTTCTTTTGGACCGCAGTTGTCAGAATTTGCTAGCAATTCCCCCAGGCAGAACCGTTGGAGCTGTAAAAAAAAACAACAGTAAAGAGGAGCTTTTCACACCTCCTTATGAACTTCCATCATTATGTTGGTCTTTAAAGGAGGAGATGATTCCAGGCCTGCCTGGGAGTGGTGCAAAGGTTCATGGGAGTCTCAAGGAAGCATGGATGGGTAGTCTCATTGCTTATTAGGCTCTGTAGAGGGAGCCTCTTGAAGATCAACCCATGTCCATGGTTCTTGTGTCTTTAGATGTCCATAAAAAGTATTATTCCCCAGAAACCAAGTTTATTTTTTTGCATACAGATACCTGTTTTTATTGAAGATCAGCAACAAAATATGTTTTGGAATGTGTTTGATGCTGTTTGTTTTCTCTTCTAGGAACTGGCAAAACAACATTTATTCGCATGCTTGCTGGAAGACTTACACCAGATGATAAAAGTAATGTTTGCCTATTGATAAAATGTAACTCAGAACATTGGTTTCCTTTTTGTTTAATCAACATAAGTTACAACAGAGCTTTGTTTAGAAAGCCAAAGCCTTCAGGCAGTGCTTCAATGTGGATACACCTGGACTCATTAGGGTTGTACCATCTTAATGAATCTGTAATTGCTGGGATCCTGAGGCATCACTGCTGCCATGATGCACCCGGACATCCCTGAGAGAAAGGAGGAATCTATCTAATTCATTAGCAGGGGAGAGTTTTGATCAACAGCAGAGGGAAGGTGTCATTCCTATGACCCTGTCCCTCAGATTACCACTTGCTGGCAGTAGTTTATGCTTGATGACAAAGCCCTGCAAAGGGTGTCTGCCATCTTGTGACTGAGGTTGGTAATGCAGATTTCAAACAGCATTTAAATTAAAATTAGTTCATGTAGTTCTAATACAAAGTAACTCCTGATGAATGCCCCTACAGTCCCCATTGTATTCATGGCAAGTTTAAGAGACCTAGATTTCTTTGTCTTAGAGCTGTGATTTTGGCAGCAAGTAGTTGTCTATATGCAGTTTCTCTCTTTTTCTCACACAGGTGAAGTACCAGTTTTAAATGTTAGTTATAAGCCACAGAAGATCAGCCCTAAGTCTACTGTAAGTATTGGTTTGTTTTGTTTTGCTTTGCTTGTGTATTTCAGCCAGTATCGATGAAAATGTCATCGTACAAACTGGAGATACTAAGTTTCTTTTTTTCCACAGGGAAGTGTACGTCAGTTACTTCATGAAAAGATTCGTGATGCCTATACACATCCACAGTTTGTGACTGATGTAATGAAGCCTCTACAGATTGAAAATATAATTGATCAAGAGGTACTGTCTGTGTGACCTCATGCTATGTTGTTAAAGATCTCACTGACTGTGTCAAGTGATTGTTCAAAAAATGATGTCTTTGACAGGTGCAAACGCTGTCTGGAGGTGAGTTGCAACGAGTTGCTCTTGCCCTCTGTCTTGGCAAGCCTGCTGATGTCTACCTGATTGATGAACCCTCTGCATACCTGGACTCTGAGCAACGTCTGATGGCAGCTAGAGTTGTCAAACGGTAAGCTGGATACTAGCTAGGAAGGGCGTGATGTTTGGGAAAGATATAATTAATATTCAAAGATAGTTTCATTTAAAAAATTCCATACAAAATCTTCATAAAAATCTTTTTTTTCTTTCAGTTTCATTCTCCATGCTAAAAAAACTGCCTTTATAGTAGAGCATGATTTCATCATGGCTACTTACCTAGCAGATCGTGTCATTGTCTTTGATGGTATTCCATCCAAGTGCACAGTGGCGAACAGGTAATAAACAAAGAAGAAATTTGGCAAAATAAAATTCTTACACAGCTCTGCATTGTGGGTAAGGTTTGATGGCAAAAGACCTATTCAGGGAAGGTGGGCAAATGGATCTTAACCCTCGGCACTGGTTGTGGAAAATAAATTTTGAGGAGGGATGTGGAGCAGTTTAAGCAGCTTTCCAAATCTCAATGGAATTTTTGATTGTATGTAAGTATGCCTTTCAGCTCACTATTTCAGAAATGCATCACACCTGGTAGAATGACAGACGCTGGCATAAAAGCATTATTAGCCTCTACTGCTAAAGTTTATCTTGATGGGGATACATGGAGAAAAACTACAATGACAGCTAGTAGTTGCCACAAAATAGCAAAACAGTAATGTAATTTATGCCACACAAGCCTAATGACATCATCAGTCATGGCCGTAGTTTAATAGTTTCCTATCCTCTCCCTCCACTCCATGGTTCCTAGATCCTTTTGGGGAGAGCAGGACAGTCTTAAATGTCTAAAAATCACTGCAGTTCTAGCAGTTTTCAGACATTTAAGACTCTAGTTCTACTGTCCTTAAATACTTTTCCAACACCTAGAAACCTACGGGTTAGGAAGCTATTAATAAAATGTGACCTCAGCTGACAATGTCATCAGGCTTACACAGCATAGTGTTACATTACTGGATTTCAGCCAATGTGGTTTCACCTTTTCAGCTGAGCTTCAAAATGGTGTTGGCATATTTTTATGTAGTAATTGAGTTACAAGTTATATGGAATTATTTGATAACTAACTTTTTCAGTGGTTTTCATTTAATTGTTTTGGTTGACTTCTACCTTCTTTACAGTCCTCAGACACTTTTGGCTGGCATGAATAAGTTTTTGTCACAGCTTGAAATTACTTTCAGAAGAGATCCAAACAATTACAGACCAAGAATAAACAAGCTCAATTCAATCAAGGTAATAAGAGGCATGCTAAACATTAAACCTTATTCTGTGTAACTTTTGTTGTGTTCTTTATGCATATTTAAATAAAAATTACTAACAGCATTTCCTGTTCTTTCCTTTGCAGGATGTGGAACAAAAGAAAAGTGGAAATTACTTTTTCTTGGATGACTAAATGAAGAACTGATTATCAGTTGAGACAGTGACATCTTTGTAATATGAAAAGCAATCACGTTTTAAAATGCCACACTCATTCCAGAGGTTGAATAGAATGTTACTGTTATGTAACCTATACTGCCCGGCTTCAATGCATTTCAATTGGGGAACCGCGTTTCGCTCAACGATGTTTCCTAGGGCAATTTTCGCTTAAGGACAGCAATCCATTCCAATTGGAACGGATTAACCGGTTTTCAATGCATTCCTATGGGAAATGGTGTTTCACTTAACGATGTTTTCACATAACGATTTTTAATGGAACCAATTAACATTGTTAAGCAAGGCACCACTGTATATGGAATTATTATTTGATAACTAACTTTTTCAATGGTTTTCATTTAATTATGTGTTGGTTGACTTCTACCTTCTTTACAGTCCTCAGACACTTTTGGCTGGCATGAATAAGTTTTTGTCACAGCTTGAAATTACTTTCAGAAGAGATCCAAACAATTACAGACCAAGAATAAACAAGCTCAATTCAATCAAGGTAATAAGAGGCATGCTAAACATTAAACCTTATTCTGTGTAACTTTTGTTGTGTTCTTTATGCATATTTAAATAAAAATTACTAACAGGTAGTTGCCACAAAACAGCAAAATCTAGTAATGTAATTTATGTCACACAAGCCTAATGACATCATCAGCCATGGCCATAGTTTGTTAATAGTTTCCTATCCTCTCCCTCCGCTCCATGGTTCCTAGATCACTTTGGGGACAGCAGGACAGACAGTCTTAAATATCTAAAAATCACTGCAGTTCTGGCAGTTTTCAGACATTTAAGACTCTAGTTCTACTGTCCTTAAATACTTTTCCAACACCTAGAAATCTATGGGTTAGGAAACTATTAATAAAATATGACCTCAGCTGACAATGTCATCAGACTTACGCAGCATAGTGTTACATTACTGGATTTCAGCCAATGTGGTTTCACCTTTTCAGCTGAGCTTCAAAATGGTGTTGGCATATTTTTATGTAGTAATTGAGTTACAAGTTATATGGAATTATTTGATAACTAACTTTTTCAGTGGTTTTCATTTAATTGTTTTGGTTGACTTCTACCTTCTTTACAGTCCTCAGACACTTTTGGCTGGCATGAATAAGTTTTTGTCACAGCTTGAAATTACTTTCAGAAGAGATCCAAACAATTACAGACCAAGAATAAACAAGCTCAATTCAATCAAGGTAATAATAAGAGGCATGCTAAACATTAAACCTTATTCTGTGTAACTTTTGTTGTGTTCTTTATGCATATTTAAATAAAAATTACTAACAGCATTTCCTGTTCTTTCCTTTGCAGGATGTGGAACAAAAGAAAAGTGGAAATTACTTTTTCTTGGATGACTAAATGAAGAACTGATTATCAGTTGAGACAGTGACATCTTTGTAATATGAAAAGCAATCACGTTTTAAAATGCCACACTCATTCCAGAGGTTGAATAGAATGTTACTGTTATGTAACCTATACTGCCCTATAGCAGTGTCAGTACCACTTTTTGTGCCTGCCAAGGCCCTGTTTTGGATGTAATATTTCCAAGCAGAAACAGCTGGCTTTCCATACCAAGAGACTATGTGATTTTTCACAGTGGAAAGATTTTGGTTGAAATATAACTTATTAATGTACCAAATGCTGTTTCCAGTTTTATGTCTTTCAGCTGTTTTCTGTATGAAATGGTTTACAAAAATGTCAAGACATAGAAATTACTATTTTAAAGAAATTTGAGCTCCATGCAAATAGGGGTTTCATAAATAAATCTCCCTCTAAATCTATAACTTTTCTTTGTATTTTGATTAATCAGATTATTAAAGTTGAAGCATAACTCAGTCTTGTCTTGAGGAGCAAGATTATGGCTTATGTTCTTTTCCGTTTCAGTACTCTGCTTATTGTGAATCAGATATTTCCATGGTTATTGGATACATTAAAACAAATAAGGAAGATTAGGTTTGGGTTTTTTTAGCTGGCTGGATAGGTTACTGAGTTGGGAGTTTGATTTCCTACTCTACCAGTCAAAATTAACTTGACAGCACACTATAATAGGTTTCTGAATCATTTGTGTTCATTTTGATGCATATAAGAATATAGTAAGGAAGCTGGATAGTTCAATGCTTTAGGTATCTGGCTATAGACCTAGAGGTTGGGAGTTCGATTCCCCACTGTGCATTCAGAGAGAAAAGCCAGCCTCTGTGGTTTTGGGCAAGCTGAAGTCCCAGAGTGACCCCAGAAAAAAGGAATGTTAAACCACTTCTGAGTACTCTCTTCCTAGAAAATGCTGGGAAAGTCACCATTGACTTGACAGCACCTGCTTATTGGTAGTAGTTTGTTCATAATGGCTTCTGCTAGATAACATATCTCTATTGGCACGACTTTTGCAAATCTTTTGAGTTGTGGAGATTGAGGCAAGTATTGGTTTGCCAACTTACACTCTCAAAATACAGGTTATCAGAGTACTTATTCCTTCTGTGTGCATGCACACAGCTTGTGTGTCAGAAATACATGCATTTGGAATATAGTAGCAGACAAGTTTTTGTATTGTCTCTCAAGCTAGTCTTGCTTAGTTTGACTGGAACTGTCAAGAAATACATACCACATTTATTTTTTGTTTATTTATTTGCTTACTGTTATACCTTGGCTATTTTAAGAAGGTTGCAGAGATCCCTTTGTCTTAATAGAATGCCATCTTTCATAATTTGATATCCTCTAATGTACTCGGCTACTTTGCTGTTCCAATTTTTTAAAAAAATATAATTTCTAATAGGAACAGGCTCATTACAAGTTTATTTTCCTTTTTCCCTCCTAGTGATGCTGCAAGATCTATCTGTTGGGTAATGTCAAAATAACCCACTTGTGGCTACCCATAGAATGGGCAGATTTCATTTCAAACAAAAACTGTTCTAGGCCTCCATATAGTGAGGTACCAGTAAGCTGTTAATGTTAAATTGAAACCTGTTTTTCTCTCTCTCTCTTCCTTTTAGCTAGGCAGAAGGGGTAAAGGGGCTTGTCTTGGCTCTTTTCTGCTTGTATGCAAATCCTGCCATTTTGATTATTCAAAAGTATATTTACACAATTGCTTCTTGATAGTAAATGATAGTAAAACCATCTAGCAAATTTTGGAATTTAAGGACTTTTTGCAATCCCAACATGAAAGTGATTCTATGGAAGCCTAGAACCTCGGGGCGTGGGGGACTTAATTCCAGCAATACTCGTTCTGTATGTATCATAATGCAGCATAAAGTTGCACAACAGAATTTCAGCCATTTATAAACAACTAAAAACTGGTGCTATTTATCTCTTCAAGACCCTCCATGCTTTCTACTTCACACTGCAATGTTTGAACATTACCCTTGTAAAGAAATGTTTCTGCTACCTGCCTTCCAAAGCAGCCAGCTCTACATAGAACAGTTTACTCTACCCTTGTAAAGAAATGTTTCTGCTACCTCCCTTCCAAAGCAACCAGCTCTACATAGAAGAGTTTACTATGTTTTTCATTTCAAAGCCTTGCTGTGTCCATAGTGTTACTTTTCTCAGGGAGCTAGAAACAGACTAAATGATATTTAGGACAAACCTTTCTTTCCCTGTGTTGGTCTTTCAGAATAAATATGGCAAACATTGAAGGATGGTAGAGACAAGCTATACTTATTTTCAGAGAAACGATACCGATAGCAACATGTGCAAAGCTTCTGAAAAATAAGGCCATCCAGCTGTGTCCATAGTGTTACTTTTCTCAGGGAGCTAGAAACAGACTAAATGATATTTAGGACAAACCTTTCTTTCCCTGTGTTGGTCTTTCAGAATAAATATGGCAAACATTGAAGGATGGTAGAGACAAGCTATACTTATTTTCAGAGAAACGATACCGATAGCAACATGTGCAAAGCTTCTGAAAAATAAGGCCATCCATTGCTCCTGAGGCCTGTAGCAAAACTGTTTTAGAAAGATATAGCTACATTTGACTTTCTCCTTTCCTTCTTGCTTTATCTATGCAAGACAAGCTATACTTATTTTCAGAGAAACGATACCGATAGCAACATGTGCAAAGCTTCTGAAAAATAAGGCCATCCATTGCTCCTGAGGCCTGTAGCAAAACTGTTTTAGAAAGATATAGCTACATTTGACCAAACTTTCTCCTTCTTGCTTTATCTATGCAAATTTGTTCATCAGTACTCCTAAAGCACAGCCCATGTTACTTCATTTGCAAGCTTCCACATCTGTAACACTATCAGTGGGCTAAATATCTTCATGCTAACTTTTTGGGCCACAGGTTAGTCTAGTCACTTTCGCAGCTCCTAAAGCACAGCCCATGTTACTTCATTCGCAAGCTTCCACATCTATAACACTATCAGTGGGCTAAACTTTTTTGGCCACAGGTTACAGTGGGGTCTTGACTTGAGAACTTAATCCATATTGGAAGGCGGTTCTCAAGTCAAAAGGTCTGTAAGTCAAGTCTCCATTGACCTACAGTGCATTGAAAACCGATTAATCCCGTAACAGGCCGTTTTTGTTCCATTTTGGGTTTTTTCTGGTCTGTAAGTCAAATCTCAGTCTGCAAATCAAACCTAAATTTTGCGGCCAGAGAAGTCTGTAACTCAAAAAGTCTGTAAGTCAAGCCGTCTGTAAGTCAAGGGTCCACTGTAGTCTAGTCACTTTCGCAATCCAGAACAATTAAGAAAAAGTAACACAAGTAAATGCATATACCATTCAAACACAGATAAATCAAAAAGGGCAAACATTTTTTAATTATATAGCATGCATCTGAGGAGTTCATAAAGTTTCACTCAAAGCTCCTGATCAGGAATTATACCATTTCTTAAACATAAAAGTAACCATCACCTTTTTTTTACACCAATATATACAGAGAAATATACAGTGTTCACTTTTATAGAGCAAAAAAAGGGGGGAGTGCATACTGCAGCATTTTGCAAGGCAGACAAAAAAAGCAGATGGACAGTTTAAAAAGACAAGAGATCTTCTGATACAAAGCAGGTGACCAAGCTTTTTTTAATCAGCCAGGTGTTTTACAGGGGGGAAAAATTCAATAGTACAAGAGAAATAAGAGGAAAGGCTTGAAATCAGCCTTGCTTTTTTTTTAAAAAAAGAGTTGAATTTATATCTATTTCATGAATCCTCTCTCACACAGCTAAGGATTTGTCAGTGCTTAAATATCTTAAGTTCTGCTGTAACAGATGCAAAATTGTTTCAGAAATGCACAGCATCTACTTTTGTCTTACATACATAAGATGGCATAGGCACCATTAAAGTCATACCAGTGTTAAGACTGCCTAGGATTTGCCGCTGAACTTCCTACCTACCTCACACACATAATTGCTTTTACTATGTCAAGAAACGCTTTAAAAAGTTTTAAAAATATACCCCTATAAATAAACACTAGAAACTACCTAAGAAACTACTATAGTTGGCTGTCATAAGTGGTATTTTTGTCAAAGTGAGAGATAGATACAGTTGCACACATTCAAGTTCCACCAGTTTTTGAGATGAAAGTCCTTTGGATTGGAAGCACATAAAAAAAAACTGTCTAGGAAAGACCAGCCCTCCGTGTGGTATCCTCCAGATATGTAGCCCAACACAGAGGAGAGACAGTCGGGGAAGGCTGATCAAGACACAAAATACAATATACATTCTATTTGGTGCAACATTCTTCATTGTCATGTGCCAAATAAGCAAGTTGTTGCTCCTTTCTCCCCACCACCACAAACTCAGAAAATGACAGGAAAAATAGATCGCAAACAAAAAAAACCTACACTTCTAGTACTTTAAAACACAAAAGCTAGGTAACCTCCAGAAATTAAATAAACCCAATTTAGTACTTGTACTTGCAAAAAAAAAAAAAAAGTATAACACTGGAAAGAGTGTATTTCTCTTGGACCTCATATGGCCACACTTCCATGATACAATAGGCATACTGTACCAGGTTTTTCTTTCAGAAAAGCACAGAGCGTATGGAAATATTACAGCTCTTATCAACATTCGGCTGCATGTCTGAAGTCTGCCAGTGGACTTTGTACTTAAGACAACTGCTGCCCACGATGACCATCTCCCATGTTTCCTCTTCTTCTCTCATGCCGATAGGGCCGTCCTCTAAAAGTACGGTGATACTGGTAGCCTTCATCTCTGTTTCTAGTGGCTGGGCCCTTCCATGAATCCTCATTTCTAGGATACTGATAGGCCCCCCTTCCAGAAGGATAGCCCTGTTCACTCCTAGGCCTCCTACCACCTACAAAAGTCTGATTATAAGACTGCTTTGACCTGCCACTTTTCAGCACATCTGATACTTGACATTCATCTTCTGAACTATCTTCCCTCGGCCTTTGTGCCCTACTTTCCTCAAAGCCTACTGATACACTGGCAGCTGCACTGGCCTTGTCAGTCTTTTCTTTATGACCAAGAGCAAAACTCTTCAGTTCTGCTTTTCGTGTTGATGATGTCTGTCTCTTAAAGTCCAGCGTCTCTGTGGAACGCTTCTGAAATACAGACTTTGCTTGAGCAGCAGATGGGGTAGCGGAACACACCTGCAACTCCTTAGGCACTCTGGCTGAGGTTTTATTGGGGACACTACATTCACTTTTTACAGTACCTGTAGGCAAAGGTGAACCTTGAGCACAGCTTTCATTCTTGGCCTCTGGATGTGACTCAGTGTGTCCACCTTCTGTAACTGGGGAACTGCACTCATTAGACAAGCCCACATCAGATCTCTTGTCTTCAGGTGGCACAATATGTCTCCCCACAGAATTGTCAACATAGCCCTGAACAGGACAACCAAAGCAAAGGTGAGGAAAAACTGGAACAGGTCCTAAATATGGATTCTGCCCAAACGGAGGTTGTGGGAATATGTTTTTGCCTCCTAATGACTCGTAGTCAACGTGCAGTGCTTGCGCTGGATTTTCAGACTCCACACAGACAAGTCCTTGGCTTTCAGGCACTTGAGCAGCAGGTATGAACAGGGGCATGGATGGAGAGAGGGCATCAGTTTGTGGACCCTGGCCATTCATGCCAACCTCATTCTGCATGGGAAAGCGTCCGTCCATATGTGCAGCTCCATTTCCATTTTGAGTCAATGGTACCTCTTGCATCCAAGGGCTGGGAGAATATACTGCCACTGGTATCTTTGGATACATTCTGCAGGCTGACAGACAAGCTTGATGTAGAGGGTACAAATATGAGTGTGGGGCCCACATAGGACAACTGTATGCCTGGAGAGGCAGAAATAAAATTATTTACGTCAATAGTACCCAAAATGGGGTCCCAGATGTCCTTGAGCTACAACTCTCTAAAGCCGAGATCACTGGCTGTGCTGGGTAAGACTTCTAGAAGTCAGAACCTGGGGAACAACTGTTTCAGGTGAATCTCACACTTGAAAATAATCCAGGTGTAGTTTAACAGTTGCTTTTATTGTAGTGTAGTATTTTGGCCAACATTGTCTAGTCAGCCCTACGTTACTTCCAGTATTTTCTCTATTATATGAGAACTCAGCAAACAGTACTTCATAAACATGGTAAAGGCAAAGGTTCCCCTTGACATTTAGTCCAGTCGTGTTCGACTCTAGGGGGCGGTGCTCATCCCTGTTTCCAAGCCATAGAGCCAGCGTTTGTCCAAAGACAGTTTCTGTGGTCACGTGACCAGCGCAACTAGGCACAGAACGCCATTACCTTCCCACCGAGGTGGTACCTAATTATCTACTCACATTTTTACATGCCTTCGAACTGCTAGGTTGGCAGGAGCTGGGACAAGTGACAGGAGCTCCCTCTGTTCCATGGATTCAATCTTATGACTGCTGGTCTTCTGACCTTGCAGCACAGAGGCTACTGCGGTTTAACCCACAGCGCCACCACGTCCCTTAAACATGGTAAAAAACATGGTACTAAGCTAAAGGTGTGCCCTTCTACATAAGGTCACACATCTTAGTGCCCTGTCCTGTTACAGAAGTTACTATATAGGACTTCTAAAATACTTTTAAAGAGAAGAATAAAGAAATTACCTGATCAGTATTGTAACAACAAACTGCTCCCCAGTTCTATAGGAAGAACTTATGAACAAGTGTGAGAGGTAAAAAAGCTACTTATTTGGGTGACGGTCCACATATAACCAGCTAAAAGTACCAATCTCACAGGGCAAGCCATGCACAAAGTTAAGGACATGTGCAGAATACAAATTCAGTCCAAGGTTTGATGAGCTTGTCCCAGCCCACACTTCCTTGATGGTCGATAGATTAGATACAACACATAGACTAGACAGACACTTCTGACTAGAGCCAGAAATGAGTGACCACATTTTAGAAGTTAAAATAATGTATTAAAAGTGTATGCACTTCAGATGTATATAAAACATTGCTAAAACACACTTTTCTCTGAAGAAAGCATTCAACGAACGTGTACTGAGTATTTAAATAATATTTAAAATACATGCTTTTGAGAAACAAAAACCTTTAAAAGGGACAATTTTGCCATATTAAAAAACCAGCAAAATCTGGTAAAACCAATTATGAATATGGAAATGGGAGGAAGCATAGGCATACCCATTCTTACATAAAATATACTTCCAACATGAGATATTTCTGTGCCCTTTCAGGCACTTAAGCTTAAATTAGTTCATAAAAGATTGTTTTACCATTGTTTTTTTGCTTTAATCAGACTGACGTATATTTCCCCAAACTGTCATGCATTTGAGCATAGGCCAAGCATGAAACAAGAACTGGAGAGGCCTGTCTGTCTGTCTTGTTTATCTGCACCATGGTGGAAGAATCAAAACAAGCTAAAGTCTCTAATGTAGGGGAACTGTAAAGACTGGATGCATAACCTGGCTAGTCCCATGGCCACTGGTGACACTCTTCATATCTGACGGTTGGGGAAGGGATGGCCTGCTCTTTATTCAAACTGCCAGTCCCTGCCAGGGAATCAATTTCTCTAAAATTACAATTTTCAACACCTGATTTCAAAACGTGCAGGTTTGTGTTCTGCTATAACAAAGTAGAAAAATACTGATAGTTACCTTTACACCAAGGTTAAAGAAAAATCTGAGGATATTTTTATCTGTGAAAAAAGGGGGGAAACAATTTAATTTAAAATATTTTTCAAGCCCAACATAGGTTAACACTCTTTTACAGACTTAAAAGTATTGGCTTCACTGACAAGTAGTCTGTTTCCAGTCACAATGCAAAAGCTGGTTATAACTTAGAAATTGCTACACAACTTAGGACCTGGTTACTTAAAAGACCGTATGGAGGCTTATATGAAGTCTACCTATGTCTTAGGATCTTCAGGGCCAGGCTCTTTGTCTTGGTCCCACTACCCTCACACACATTTGATGGGGGCAGAGGGTTTCCCCACTGGCAACACTCAGGTTCTAGAACTCTTTACTAAGCAAAGCAAATTTGGCATCTTTACTGTCCTTCCACTAGCAAGTACAGTGGTGCCTCGCTTAACGAGCACACCGTTTAACGACTAATTCGCATAGCGACGCGTTTTTTGCGATTGATAATGCGATCGCATTGCAATGTTTTAATAGAGAAAACATCGCGTTGCGGTGATTGGTAAGCGTTTCGCTTACTGATCTCTGCATTGAGATGTTTTTTAAACAGCTGATCGGCGGGTCCAAAATGGCCACCGCATCCGCAAAATGGCCGCCTGCAGCGTTATCGCGCCCTGCCCTCGCTTACCAGGCAGCGAAAATGGCGGCCGGATCGAGGATTCCCCGCAGAGCAGTGGGTTTTTGCCCCAATAGGAACGCATTAAACCCGTTTTAATGCATTCCTATGGGGTTTCCTCCCCGCATAGTGACGAATCCAGATAGTGACGTTAATCCTAGAACGGATTAACGTCGCTATGCGGGGCACCACTGTAAAACCTCCTTCCAGATGGGCTTTGTCATTTAACCTGGGTTTATACTGATAGGGGCTGTTTCTTCTTATTGGTCTATTTATGTCTCAGTTGCATCTGCCTTTGAATGTTACTAGCAGTCACCTTGAATGCTTTTTAAAATTTTATTGGCAGAATGGCAGGATATAAATTTAACAAATAATAGTTTTGTTGTTTTAGAAAAGTCTATTGAAAATCCATTGAACTATCTTCGCATAAAAGCAAGGATCTGTTCTGAGGTACAAAGCTAAGGCTGGATGACAGGTAGGAAGTATACTACATGATTCCTTTTGTCACCAATTTAAATAGTTGCTTAGTGCCCTTCTATTTATAAAGCATTACATACATGCATACTGCATCCCCCACTCACCCACACTCATTCTAATGTGTCTGGGATAAATCTTAATCTTACCTTCTGGTAGGTCCACTCCTGTACTGCACAAGGAGTAAGGTGGCACCATGACTCGTTCCCCCTTTTCATTCAAAGGGAATCCAGGGTACAGTGGATCCTGGTAAGGATTAAGTGTTTGAGGCATAGGCATTAATGGCTGGTTAACTGCCTGGAGTGGTACTGGAATGCCAGCGACTGCATTGGAGGTCACCTGAGACAGAGGTGAGTCTAGCCCAAGTGCTGGTGTGGGCATCACGGCTGACACAGGGATTTGGGGTGAAACGCCTAAGATACAGACAAGGGAAACAGATCCATTAGAACTGGGCAGTATCAAAGATTAGCATCAGAAAAAAAAGTGAAAATCTAGGATGAGAACATGCAATTTGGTCGGTTTAAGACAGTAATCATGGCATTATCATAACAAATATAAGATGCTCTGGTTTCTGAACTGAAAAACATGCCACTCATGGCCTGCATATTGCCCTATATTTCTGCAAGCGAGAGGGCTTTTCTAGACAAAGTCCTAACAGCCAGACTTGGACAAAGAGAAACGGCTCTATTCCCGAGGCCCTAAGAGAAGTGGACTATGTTGTAACACATCTGGCAGCTGACATTGGTCCTACTAGAGATAAAGGAAGTTACTGGAAATACTATGCCATGAAAAGGTCATATGGTAATTTAAGGTCATGAACCAGTTTTTCCAATATGACCAACAATCAGATATACATAGGCATCTCAAAGCAAAACCTGCACCTGACATCTGAGGGAAAAGGGTTGGAAAGAAGAGTTGCAAAGGGGGAAAACATGAGTAGTTGCTATAGAGGACACCAGAGGCTAAACAGAGGAACTCACTGAGCCAAGACCAAGCTCAAATACAATCCCTGAATCCCTTTCTCCTGCTCAATGAGATTTGAACCTGGATCTCCCAAATCTTTAGCAATTATTTCATGCTGCCTGTCCTATGCATTTACTTAAGAAGTGCAATTTGTTTAGTGGGTCCACTCTAGCGTAAACTAACTGGATTTAGCCGCAAATGTCTAAAAACAGGATATTGTAAGACTTCATTCAGGATTAGGAATTTTTTTTCACCAAACCTGTTGGTCCATAGGTGGATGGCTCACGTGGCCAAGCTGGCACAACAGCTGGTACAGAAGGCACTGAAGGAGACAAATGCATCTTGGGAAAGGCTGTAGACAGAGTGGGATTCACACCTGACAAGGGCTCCTGCAAGTTCTAGAACGCAAAGAAAGCCACATATGGTTTAGGAGGCTTTAACTGTTAAAAGGCACACCTAAGAGCACAATCTCTGGGAGGAAAAATCAGCAGCCATACTCATGATGCTCTCTTCCTAATAATAGAAAGTACGAAAGAAACACTTTTGTCATCTAGTTCTCTACATCTTTTCCTGAGAAGCCCAACTGATTTCGGCCAGTCTTTTTGGCCTGGAGATGGGGCCCAGATTCATCTGCAGGATGCGAACAAGTGAAAACCTCTTCCTCTGTACGTGACAAAGGAACATTCTCAAACAAGGGCAAAGAGGACAGATTCAAAGGCATATGAGCAGGCGTGTGTAAGATTGGGTTCACCCAAAAAGCAGCCAACTAAAATGGGATAGAAAGGAAAGATGTAGTTATTTGACCTATCAAAAAGAACCACAGAAATGTAAGCAAACATCCCTTTACCTGTTCAACAGATACGGACTGTGAATTCCCATGACTTGAGGGAGGGGATATTCTTGCCTCTACAGCCTCTTTCCCACTGCCCTGCAAGTTAACATGGACAATTACAGCTGATAGATAAGCATTCATTTTGATAAAAAGAAGGGGAAAGATTGAAACCTGTTGGGCATGTGACAAAACTCAAAACATTCTGAGATACCTTGGACACTCTTGACTGAAGCTTCTGATCCAAAGAGGTCTGCCCAGGATTAGGCTCTGCAACAGTAAAATTAAGCACAATTAATGAAGCTAGCAAATGCTGCAAAAGCAACTTTGTTGAAAATACTGCTGAAAAAGCTGCATCTCTGAATAATCTCCCCAGAGTTTTATCTGTCCCTGCAGTAGCCTCCCACTGAAAGTCTTCCTTGTTTAACAAGTGATAAAGGATGTCACTCTATAAAGGTGCCATCTTTAAGCAAAAAAGAAAAAAATAAAAAATAAAAGAAAACAAAGTTTCCAGTTTTTATTACCTTTCTCCTCCTTAATTTCTACACAAGTCCTCTCCTCCTTCTCTTCTTTTTGACTGCTGCTTCTCCTCCCATTAAGAACACTGGTTTTTCTCCATCCGGAATGGTCATTACTCTGTGTTGCCACCTGAGATACTGGTGGGTTCTGAAATAATTGAATTATTTTTAGAACAAAGATTCCATGTGCTCTACATTTTATACGAAAAGCTGAACTGTAAAAATTACAGAAGAATTCTACCATCTGGAATGGCTTCAGCCAATATTGCCACATTAGTTTAAATAGTTTGATTAATTGTGATTCCAACTGATGTGGTGGCACTGCGGGCTAAACCACAGAAGCCTGTGCTGCAGGGTCAGAAGACCAAGCAGTCGTAAGATCGAATCCACGCGACGGAGTGAGCTCCCGTCGCTTGTCCCAGCTCCCGCCAACCTAGCGGTTCGAAATCATGCAAATGCAAGTAGATAAATAGGGACCACTTTGGTGGGAAGGTAACAGCGTTCCGTGTCTAAGTCGCACTGGCCATGTGACCACGGAAGATTGTCTTCGGACAAAACGCTGGCTCTATAGCTTGGAAATGGGGATGAGCACCGCCCCTAGAGTCGAACACGACTGGACAAAAATTGTCAAGGGGAACCTTTACCTTTACCTTTACCCACTGATGTGAGAGGAGGTTCTCAGTGGTTCTTGCCCACATTTAAAGAAATGTTATATGTCATCACAGATCATTTTAAAATGGATAACAGCACTGTCATACAAGCTTTGCGCACAAGTGAATTCTACAGTCCCCGACCCGTAGCCTTGGCAGGTCCGTCCAGGCTGTGGAGGCAGATCTCCTGCTCCCATGCACGCCCACGCACCTGCACACACCCGCCCACCTGC